GAGACATTAAATACAAATCAAAAACTGAAAATTTTGTAGTGGAAGTAGCAAGATGCCGTGGACATCCTTCTTCATGTTTTTCAACAGGACTTGCACTCGTCTGGTTGTCTTTTTCCTCGTCATTCTGTAAATTTGTTCCTTTTCAGGTGAGCAATCTGTTGTTTTCATCTTGTTGTTTTGTTCTGCAATTACTAAGTCCATTCATGTCAAGCCTTCATGAAACTGACGATTCTTACCTTTAGCTATTGTGTTAATAAAACTGTGTTTTTTGTTTGTGTGTGTTTGCAGGTGTTGTTTCCGGAATTTCGGAGTAGCTTATTTGTTGTTGTGCTTATTTTACTTTGGTTAGTGTGAGAATGTGCATTGTTGGAAACAAGAAGGGAAACCGAGAATTGAAGGAAATTGGAACTTTTATGATGACTACATGTTTCATTGCTAATTACCAATCAGTTCAAGTTTGTCAGGTACTTGCCTCTCCTCTCTTGTTTACTGCATTTCATAACCACTTTTAACTACCTATAATAGATGTTTATGAACCCCTGATGGTATGTGATCAATAATCTAATAGATGTTTTGAGTTGATATTTTTATTTGTTAGAGCATACATAACCCATTGTGTGTCTGGTATTCAAAACCTTTCTTTTTTTTTGATCTTTGCAGGCAGAATATTTCAGACAGTTGCTTAAGCCTGTAACGTAGTCTGGCGTCTGGAGTTTTCCGGAAATTGGGGTTTTGCGACGGCTATCTACTTTTGATTTCGAAACAAGTATTGTGAGATATTCTGAAGAGCGGTGTTGACATCTGAAATCTGTGAGGGGGAGCTACTGGTTTGGGGGGGTAAGGGCTCTGGTGGAAACTTGTGATATCTTCAGTATGATGGCCATAACTTGATTTAGCATTTGGTTCAATCGTCAACGTAGTGTAGTAGTAACCGAGCAGCTGGAAGCTTGCAAAGACAAATCGGTAGTAGAATATTAAGCAGCAGCTCGAAGTTTGAGGTGTGCGGCTCGTTTTTTTTGTTTCATTGTGTTTCACTTTTTACCTTTGCTCGGGTTTCTGATGCAGAACAATCAGTTTCCCCACTTCTCAGACGAAGTGGATGACAGAAATATGCACATCCCGTATGCATCATCATCATCATACCTTGATGATATGTTCCCACCATGCGCAAAACTGCCATTCCATGGTGTTGAACTTCAACCCTCTGCGGTCTGTCCAAAGAATTTTGTCGTTTTCGATCAAACATACGACCGCAGCCAAGTGATGTACCATCCTGAGCTGACTCATAAGCTCATGAATTCCCCATCGTTGAACGGATTAGCTTCGACATTCCAGAACGAGTATGTTGGGGGAAGTTACGGTCACTTTGACCAAGAAGTATCCTCTTCTCATCAAGAGGATCCGAATGAGATTGATGCTCTCTTGAGCAC